TGGCTTTTCTCAGGATAGACGTTAAGCTAATGGGACGATAGTTAGCAGGGTCATGAGTATCACCCTTTTTAAGATGGGGACAATTTGTGCAGTACGCCATGCAAGAGGTGCAGAACCCCATTGCTAACAAAGCTGGAACAAAAGACAAAGAACAGGAGAGACTTGCTTAACAATTGGGTGAAGCATTTCAGCACGAAGATGGTCAACACCAGGAGCCTTGCGTGTAGGAAGCTTGAGAATTGCACTCTCTACAGAAAGATGAGTAAAAGGACATGATTCATCAATTGCAATTGGTGATGAAATCATCACTGTCTGGTCTGGAGGGCGGCGTGCAGGAAGAAATTGACCTGAGAAAATCTGTTGAAGATGATCAGCCATTTTGTTAGCATCTACTTGAGGTCCACCTGGATCCACAAAGACAGGACTGGTTTGACGATGGCTTTTAATACGTTTCATTGTTGCTGTGGTCTTTGCAAAGTCTTGTGTTGCCAATTTGTTGCAGAATTCTTTCCATGTTTCACGTCGACGACGCTGGACTGATAACCTAACAGCATGACATGCATCCTGATGGCGCATCCAGCATATAGCCTTCTGCAAACCACTAGAATGACGCCAGCGTTGGTAGCTGCGTTCTCTCAGATCCATTGCTTCTTGAAGGTCCACTGGCCAGAACCAGTACTTTTGCATGGTACGTGGTGTACGACGACCAACAGCAGTGTCCAGAGCATCATAGATAGCTTGAGCAAAAGCAGAGCACAGAGAATCTACAGGAGGAGGAGAAGAAGAAGAAAGGAAAGCACTGAACTGCTCTGTCAGATTGTCCAATGACGCAGAAGCTGTATCAATGTAGATCTTGAGAGTGTCAGGCTGAGCAAGCTTGGAAAGATTCCAAAGTAGGCGCGGATGATTAGTAGGGGGAGGGGGAGGTGAAACATAGGGAGTGAAAGTGAGGTTGACCATTTTGTGATCAGAGCCTAAAGAAAGATCAGAACGAATTTGCATAGAAGGATTGAGAAGGGGGGATGTAGAAAGAAATAAATCAATGACACTGGAACGTGAGGTACCAGAGCCACCAGAAAGAAAGGTAGGAATACCAAATGCAAGTAATTCATTCCAACAAGTGAGACCAGTTGCCTGGATCCACTGAAGAAAAGAAGTTCCTCGCGAAGTGATAGCATGGTCACCAAGAAAGGATCCCATACGTGAATTAAAATCACCACAAAAAATAGTGTTAGAAGAAGGAATAGAAGAAGAAGAGAGGGGGAGGTCATAAAGAATAGAAATTGCATCGTCATTAGAAAGAGAAGGGGGAAGATAAATGCAATGAATAAGACAATCAAATACAATACAAGAAAGAACATAAGGAGAAGAAGAAGGAACAATAGAAATGGGGTAAGGGAAAGAAGGATTTACAAGAAGAGAAATACCCATGCAGCCACGGCTAGCATTGGGGACAGACTGACCATAGGTATGGTACTGCTGCCAAGAAGTAGGATAACGATGGGGGGACAAAAGCCACGTTTCAGTGATAAAAAGAAGGGAAGTAAGTGGAGCATATGAAAGGATCGTAGGTATGGTCTGTTTTGCAAGACCATTTGCATTCCATAATGTAATTGTTACTGGATTCATAGATCAGAGAATGAAGGGATGGTGATGCTGGCAGTATGTATAGAGATGTCCAAGTCTTTTTTGGTGGGTCATGGGGGAACAATCTCAGCTAGTTGGTCATCACTAATCCATCCCTGAGAGCAAAAGGAATGTGCAACAGCAAACTTGACAGGAGCCCTAATGAATTCAATGGCACGTAGCATACGATCATTGTGAACATGTATAGCTTTTGTTGCCCTATCATCAAGTGAAAGAGAGGCCAGAGCTGGGTCACGGAGGTGAACAGGGTCCAAAGGATCAAAGTTATCCAAAGTAGTAACACCATAACTCGCCAAGATAGTCTTGAGCTCAGGAGCATACTCATTATGTACAAGCATTCCCATCACCTTACGATCAGGATAGTGGAGATCCAGCACACGTGCAATGTCTATCTTTAATTTCCTAAGACGTTGACGTTGAGTACTAATGGGGAGACGGATAGCATTAGGTACATAAACAATTTGAAACCCCTGATCAGCATTTTCTTTAATTGTCATGCCACGAACAACAGCAGCAATGGCCCTAGCAGTTGGAGCCCTTTTACGTGGTGTTTTAGAAACGAAAGTCTTGGTGGGTTCAGTGGAATGATGGGTCTGGGATGCAGGAAGTGATGGAAAATCAGCCTGAGAAACAACTGGAACAGAGGCAGCAATAGTAGCATATTTGGATGCTGCAGCACCAACAGAAAAATCAACATTCTCCTTTGTCAAACGTGCAATAGTGGCGTTTGCAGTAGCAAGAGCCTTACGCAACTCAATGTTCTCTTTTTGAACAGCCTCCAATGCAGAAAGACGTTCATCATAAGCCTGGAAACGGTCCCAAATATCCTGAAGAGTGGGCATTACAGTTGGAAGAACAGGTGCAATGTCAGATTCAATTTCATGGATATCTGCCATGGAAATACTATGACCCAAGATGGAAACAGAAGGGGACACAACAGGCTCACTTGCAGAATGAACTTCAGGAATTTTGTGTTGGACTGCATTGATCAAAGATTGCATGTATGAAGCAGTAAATGTTGCACCACATTTGCATTTAAACTGTGGGCTACCAGTACGAGAAGTAGACCCATTAGAAACAATTTTGCCTGTAGTCTGGCAATGTGAACAGGACAAAACATTGTGCAATTTTTTAAAGTCTGCCTTGAGGCCAGACAAAATGAGAGCAGTAGGAGTAGGGCGGCCAGTGGAATTAATCACCTGTTTTTGGGAACCAATCATTGTTGTAGGAGCTTGAAAAAAAATTTCGTGGGAACCAGAAGCAGGCAAAGCAGAAAAAGAAAGGTCTGAAACTGGGACAAAAAAGTGCGAAGTTGATGGTAAAATACCAGAACCACCTTCAGAGAAGGAGAAAAGAGCTGGAGACGATAACAGAGGTACAGGCAATTGAGATGTAGTTGGAGATGCTGACAATCTTGAGTGATTTCGGCGCAGATGTGAAGATGATTGCAATGATGATTCCAACAATTTGAAAAAAAAAGTCAATTAAAAAAAATAAAAATTGGTAGATATATAAAAACGGTTTCTTGGTGTAGTTGGTTATCACGTCTGTCTAACACACAGACGGTCGCCAGTTCAAGTCTGGCAGAAATCATTTTTGTTGCGGCGTCGTACCCGAATTCATATCTCCTTATTTTATGTGTCCAGTCTCGATCTGGTATTTCTTTTCTGGCACTTGTAACTAAGTCGCAGAATCAATACCACTGGAGATCGTCAAGTTTATGAATAGTTTTTAGATAAGAATAAAGATACTTTTTATTAAATATATTTCTTGACTATTTATACGAATTGATACTTGATTTCTGGCTAAAAGAATAGCTACTTTAATATGTCTTACATGCTAGTTATTCACTAATATCTTCTACAAGTATATTCACCATCTTAAACATCTAAAATATATACAAAAGACCAATCGGCAATGACAAGATCTTTTACCCTAAATGTCAACCATTATTGGTTGCTTGTGAATTCTGATTTTGATTGCCAATGTCAACTCTGACACTTGTGTGCCAACACTCGAAAAACCACTCTGATTAACAATGTGGTCAGGTTGGTAAACACATGTGTAGAAATAGTGATTTTTTTATACTAACTGTGTTTTTTGAAGTTTAGGTCAAAGATGTAGTTTTAGTTGGTTTCATTGGCTAACAGGATTTTAGAATATCAGTTTGGTACAGAAGGCTAAATTCACATACAGAGACCTATCATAATTCTCATTCTACTACCCCTTTTTTTATTCCTACTATTTTCTAGATTTACTCTCACAATAATCTATTTATAAACTCATAGCAAAAAAATATATGTCTTTTACACACAACAGGCATTCTGGAAAACATTTGAATAAAGACTATGAATTGATAATATCATAATTGTCATGTCTCTTTCTATATTTAATGATATAGAAAAGAATTTATTAGAAAAATTCAATTAAACAATCATAAAATATAATGTTTTTTTTACAATAAAGTTGGTGCAAATAGAGTATATTTTATGCTTGTTCCTCTTTTTATTCTCAATAAATCACATTAAACAAAACACATAAAATGCCTTCTATTCCCCACCGCCGTAATGTTGTCTGATGTTGTGCTCAATGTAGCAGATATTCACAGGGATACTCATTGGTGACAAGCAGAACCGCTGAGCACCATATTAGAAAAGATGAGCTTGAGAGAATCGAGAGACTGGATATGGCTGAAAGATTGGCAAATAGTATGTTATATTCAGGGTTTATTTTTCGATTACTGAGTAATAACTTCTTTATTTTTTTAATTTTAATGAAACACAGCTGTGCAAGAAGAACAAATGATGGACGTTGATATCCAATGTAAGAAAAGAAAAGAAAAAAAATATATACTTGAAAACCAGTAGAGAAAATAAGCTAAACTAATCTATATTTGTATATATCCTGATCTGTTGTTATATCCAATATAATTGTAGATTTAAATTAAAAGTATAGATACTCAATAAATAGTACCTACTTATTTTCTTGCGTGCTGAGTTTAAATTATTTGGGGGGTCTACTTTTTTATGTCGCAAGGGGCTTTAAATTATAAAGATATGTAGAAGCAGTGACAGCTTTTACTTTTGTTATTTCTTTTGGAATCTTAATGTTTTTTTTTACATTTTTTTCTCTTTATCAAAACATATTATTATAGAACATAATTGTAATTTTTTATTATCTTTGTGTATTAAGATTTCTAAAGCAGGAAGAGTTTGCATTTCTAAGAGTGTCTATACGATTTATTGCTTCCCCAAGTAAACCACTAATCACTTATAATTCAGCTTCATCAATTCCTGGAACATCCATCAACTGCTCTAAGTCTTCTCTTTGATGATGAAGTGTTGTATTCTGGGTCATGAATCTTTGCAACCAAACAGAATTGTTTCTACCACTTACAACAACTGTGTTTGTTTCATTTTCAACTTTCTCATTAACAGCTGCCACTTCATGCTCAGATGCAAGCAATCTTTGCAGTTGGAGGTAGTTGTTTTCCCTTTGAACTGTATACACAAAGTCTAGACCAATAAATCTCTTTAGGAGATGTGCATGTTTACAGGGAATTTGATGTGAAGCAAAATTGGGACAAGTGCAATTTTATATCAAATTGTTTGATACATTAATCTAATACCATTGTGCTTCATCTGTAAATGACTTTACTGTCCACTTGCCATTAGAGTCCTCCATGCTATTGCCAATCTCATTAAGAGAATTAATGATCATGAAAGGGAGCATGTCATCTTGTATGGTATTGGCAGAAAAAGAGTGTTGAGCAAGTTCATTTTTAATCAGACCCATTCGTCCATTTTGTATGTGGATTCGTTCCACTTCTTCGTTGTAAAAGAACTCCACATCATTTGTCAAAATAAAGACAAGATAGTCCAATCGTCTTATGTGAGTACAATCAAAGTATATTGTTTTCAATTAGTTGTGCCACGATTTGATGTAATTGTTTGTCAAATATCTTTGGTGGTCATTTGCAACATATGGCCTTCCCCATCTTCTCAACAATTCTTCTGTTCCAATCCATTTATGTTCGAAATAAGTCAGGAATTGTTGCTGACTTTGTACACAAAGTCTAAACTTCTGGATTTTTCTCAAAAATTCATTCTCATCTGATTCAATAAGTATATTTTTGAGATTGGCCTTGAGCTCATACTTGTATTTGCCAAGTTGTTCTGATGTGTATGAAGCATCAAGCTTTACTTTGCTGTCTAAATTATGCTGTCAGGCACGCAAAACATGAAACTCGCAGAAATGGATGATGGCCTGTGGCAATGCTGCTGTAATTGCATTAACTTCAGCAATTCTACAATCGATGGTAATATATAAGGGAGTGAAACAGCTTTTCTTGCGAAGATGTACAAGCCATTGATTAATGGGGCTAACACTATGATCATTTGTAATCATATATGCAACAGGAGACCCTTTTCCAGTATCAGGATGACGAGTAACAAGCGAGTATAATATTTCAATGTTGCATGCAGAGATGTTGTATGTTGCATCAAGACAAAACGACCGGGAAATTCTCATAAGCATCATTTGAGATGGTGATTGAAATCCAAACACAAAATGCTGTGCATTGTTGCTGTATGCAGAAAGACCGCCAGTAAAGATACAGTAGTTCTGTGATGGTAACTTCTCATGCATCCAAATATCCAGAGACTTATTTTCATCAGGGTGAAACTTTACAGTATATTCTTCATCTATATTTTTTATTTAACACTTTTTAAATAACTTCTCTCTTATAGTATTATTCACACACCTTTCTCATTCTGTTATAGATGTCTTCATAATTGGGCTTTCTAATGCCTACGCCCCACTCTTCAATTTGTTTCAAAACTGAAATTCTAGTATTTCTACAAGTGCTGCCCCCTTTTAACTGATCTTCAATAATTTTGATGGCCTCAGAAGGTAAAGGCAATGTTCTAATTTCAGAAGTGTTGCCAGGAACATGGTTGGTATGACCGTTGGTCATACAAATTAAAACTACTTCAGGGTTGTTGACATATTGCTTGATGAAAATAGTGGCTTCGCAATAACAAAGCTTAGTGTCTTTCTGATCAAGACGAACATTTCTGTCTGATATATAAAATCCTCCTCAATAACATTTTTTGTCTCTCCATACATCAATTCTCTTGCATGAAGTTTTCTACATTTATTCCACTTTGTTGAACAAAGTGATTGAATGCAGTCAAGGCATTGCTCCCATTCACTTGCTTTTACTTTTACTACAATATCCAAAGGAAGCATTTTTATTCCTTCTGTAGGTGAGTTGACTAAAGTATTCTGCACATTTGAAAGGTTGAATATAGTGTTGGACATTGGTGAGCTCGTATTATAATAGTATATGTAATTAAAATAAAGAGGAGAGAAGAAAAAAACATAGCAAAAAAATTGTTTTAACAAAAGTCACCTTGCAAAATCTCTATATAGAAAAGCCACATTCTTATAGTTTAAAGCCTCTTGCGACATAAAAAAGTAGACCCCCAAGTAATTTAAACTTGGCGCGCAAGGAAATAAGTAGGTACAATAAATACATACATTGAGTTATCAACAACTAGTAATGATACTAAAAGATATATCTTCCCTTATACAAAGAAATTACATAAAGAACATACTAAGACAAATACTAAGACTCTAGTTGATAACATGAAAAACATAAGAACTAAATCATAGAAGGTAATAGTAGAGAAACAGACATTACATGATATTATCATATCATCACCAAGCCAAATACAATGTCTATATAAATGCACAATACTAATAGCAATATAACAGCATTGCTGTTGTGATGGTTGAAGTTGAAGAAGTTTTTAAGAGGAAGAATTGAAGATTTGAGATTAGGAACGAAGATTCGTGAGAACTTGTGTAGGTTTTGTTTATTGAGAAAGATTTGGTATCAAAGTTTGATCAGGTTCCTACACTGACACTAGAAAAACATACGGGAATTACCATGTACAAAGTTAAATTATAACAATAGAAAATCTGGGGTATTTTTTCATCTCAGCTTTTTTTGTGTGTTCAAGATGAAAACACTGTTTTCCGGTTTTCTATTGGCTTGGATACAACAGGTGAAAATATTATTTATTATTATTATTATAGACATAACATTTCATTATAAAGACATAGTAAATTTAGTAAACGTTGTACTTGTTTTCTTTTTCTCTTAACACCTCAAAGTAAAAATAAATAAACATTATGTCCACAATTCCTGAACTCTACAACGAAAAGTGCCATTATGCTGGATGTAGTCAGAACGATCTCGGCTATAGTTTTGTTGCCAGAAGAACTGCTCAACGTCATAACAAAAGGGCAAGACTAAATGCCATAAGATGTGAAAGGGGTACAATATTTGAATTTATTTAATTGTATTGTAATCCATGAAATAACGTGTTGTAATAGACATGTCTACCCAAAGAAATATGATGGAGGTCGATGATGAACGTAAGGTTTATTTAATTCAGATACCGTTAGATATTAACCAAGTGTTATATTCTAAATGTAGCTATCTTAACCCATCAACCCGGAGCCCTGGAAGAATCGTACACTCAGACAAACTCACCTGTTTGGGAAGGAGCTTCAATGTCTGACACTGAAGATGTTTCCATTACTAATGATGCGATCAGCAATGGCGACAATGATGACAGTGGAAGCAACAGCAATGAAATCAGTGAAGACGAAAGCGAAGACGATGTTATTGAGCTCAACAACAATGAATTGAATAGTGAAGATCAGTTAGTGTTAAAATTTTTTTTAAAAAAAAAGCGTTAATTTTTTTTTATAATAGACCCTTTTGCCACCCCCGATATGCCCCAGAACCCAGTGCACAGGTTCATTGCTACTTTTGTGGTGATGTTTGCTTCCTGCTATGTGGTTGACAAGGGCGCTATTGTCTTGATCGAGTTCATCAACAAGCTTTTGACAATTTACGAGCAGGATTTCCAACTGCCCTTGAGCCTTCCTGGTCTTCAGCGCATGACAGATTTCTCAGCCATGACCAAAGGCATAAAGAAATTTGTTGTGTGTCAGGATTGTCACAAGGTGTACGAAGAAAGTGCATCTGTCCCATCTCATTGCGATTTCGTAAAGCTTGGTGCACGCTCGTCTTGCAACTGCCAATTGACAAAAACATCAGCATCGGGTGCTTTGGTGGCCAAGCATTCATACTTGTACCAGTCCGTCGTTAATACTTTACGAATGTTTTTTCTTCGTCCAGAATTCGAGGATAAAATTAGACATTGGAATCACGAGCTGAAGATGGTGGATACGATGTGTGACATATACGACGGTGCCATGTGGAAGGAGCTCAAAGACAAAGATGGCATGCAATTCACAAAGGATTCGCGTTCATTAATGTTGACTCTCAACATCGACTGGTTTCAACCTTTTGATAACGTCACGCACTCGACTGGTGCCATATACCTGGTAGTAAACAATCTGCCTCGCAATGAAAGATACAAGCCAGAGAACACACTTCTCGTAGGATCGATGCCTGGCCCGAAGGAACCCAAATCCGAAGAGATAAACCATTATCTCTGGCCTATGGTAGATGATCTGATAAGATTGTATGAGGGACTGGCAATCCCAACTTTCGAGTGTCCTAGTGGTGTCCGCGTCCGTGCCGCATTGATGATGGTGACCTGTGACATCCCGGCAGCAAGAAAGACAAGTGGTTTCACCTCGCACAACAGTACATGCGCATGTTACAAGTGCAACAGACATTTCCCTCGCTTGGAAAACGGTGTCAATGTTGACTTTTGTGGGTTTGACTTCTCTTGGTGGGTGCTTTGTGACGGTGTAGAGAACAGGTTGCATGCTGAGGAGTGGGAAAGTGCTAGTACCCCCTCAGAAAGGCATCGGCTGGAGGTCGAAAATGGTGTTCGATGGTCGCAGTTGCATCGCCTTGGATACCTTGATCTAGTACGTGGAACAATCATCGATCCCATGCATAATTTATTCCTGGGAACGCCTAAAAGATTGATGGATCGTTGGATCAAAGACGAAGACATTCAAGATGGCGATTTTGTGGCAATGCAGAAGACTGCAGAAATGATGATTGCACCTGGTGGATACACCTCTTTGAACTCGAAAATAGGAAAGCAGTTTTCGTATATGAAGGCAGACGAGTGGAAGTCATGGGTGCTCGTATACTCTACTATGGCAGGATGAATGGCAGTTGGGCCGAAAGTAGGCACATAACTGCCATTTTTTTGGTCGAAACCCAATAAAATCTCCGCCGTTTGTTGTAAGATGGTAATGTCATTCGTAGCAATTTAAAAAAGTAATATGAAAACACTTTTTTTGTTGCTGTACAATATTTTCAATACTGTAAAAAATGTTTGTAAGTTGTAATGACCACTTTGAGTATTGAAATATATGTTTTATTGAATATCAAAGATGTCAACAGTTATTAAGATTAATAATTTTTGGAATGTGTGAACGAAATGGTAACATAACTGCCATTTTTTTATTTTTTAAACTACGTTCTTTTTTTTTTAGATATTCTTTTTATCTTGATGAATTGGCAATTTGATTTTATTTAAATCGCGTAATGGCGTATAGAGCATATAGGGAATGAAGAGAAAAGCATAAGATGTATAGAGAATAGAAAAAAAACCAGAGTATATAAAGAAGAAAAGAAAGACGGGGCATATAGAGATTAAAAAAAACATAAGAAATAGAGAAAATTAAAAAAAGAATATAAGATACAAGGATGATATAAAAAATATAAAAGATATAAGGATATAGAGCATATAGAAAAATAAGATAAAAATAAAAAGGATTACAGAATGGAAAGATTGCCTTTAGTAATGCGCATGTTGTTGTTAAAGATATAATAGGGCGCAATTACATAAAACTGGTTTCCATTCGGTGGGTATTGGACCAGACTAACTTGATGACAAATGTCATTTACACTTATAACTGCATAAGTCGGTTGCGTTTGGTGGCCTAGTGTATGGGTGCTTTGTGACCGTTGTTTGACGATAGGTACTGATGAGTCATGACCAGCCGCGTCATGTTCCTTCATGACCTCCACGAAAGCAAGAAAGTGTGGGAAGCCATAGAAATCTACATGCTGAAAGTAGAACTGTACTGTACCGATGAGCCAGCTGTGAACAATTACATTACGGTTGCTAAAATAAATAAATAAATAGAATGTAAGCAACTTTTGATTATATATCGAAAAATATTATACTTACTTTCTATAGGGGCAAGTAAACATCACGTAATGGTTGCCACGGCTAGTCTCGTTTTTCTTTCTTCAGTACATGCATGAGGAATATACAGTCGAGTCCATCCACAGACGTGCAGCTACAACAACAACAGAGTCACCAAACTCGTGGCCAGTCAAGCCTGTTGTTCTCTGGTAGTATTTCAATAAAGCTTCCTTCACACTAGGGCTGCCTACACCTTCCACTGAATCATTGTTCAAATTAACAAACTGATGAAATGGCTCCCACAACTGCGCACCACTAGGATCATTAGGAAGGTCCATGTAGCTCTCTCTTCCATATGGCTTTGGCCAAATGAGGTTGATTTCATCACAGATGCTGATTGCCGTGCTGGTATAATTGTGAATCGCAAATCGCTTGACAAGAAAACTGGCGTTTTGGCCACCCTTTGATTTGGACTTTATCAATTTCGAGAAGACGCCAATTACTCTCTCCATTGAGCGAGTGGAGTAGCATTGCAGGGGGCCTTGCTGCTTGATGATATAGGGTATATTGACCAGGTAATGTTGCACTGGTCGGAAAACACTATGAGACAGGGTATTATTCTGGACTTGTTGGTATAAAAACGAGTGCCAGTGCTTGAAGTATCTATTATTAATATTTAAAAAATGGTAACAATCAGCTATTTGTAATGATAATATATGAGATGTATAATAACTTATGACTCCATCTCATCAAGCAATTCTGATGTCAACGTCCATTGCAAGGCAAGCGCGCAACCTTTCACGAGAGATAATAGGGCTGTTTTGACAGCTCTATTTAGTAAATAAGGCACGACCAAAGTGGGGACAAGATATAAGAGAAAGTCAAGTCAGTCCACTGCACGAGTACCATCAATCTTGGCAAATACGTTGTTGAAACTGCCTTGAAATGAGGTGGGTATATATTTTCGTGAGCTGGTGATACAGTTTCCGATAGTTACAAGGTCTGCTCTTGGTATATGAAAAGGGTATTTGGTGGTATTGAGGGTATTGTCTGGATGGGTATAATAAAATTTGGTTTACTTTGTGAGGGTGATGGTAATCAGGTCATACACAAGCTTTCCAATCCCTCTTGCAATTAAATGAAGTTCATCTAATGCAAAAAATGATGATCCAGAGAAGGTTGAGAGTTGGGTATATATGCTCAGCTGGTATATGTTCTTCGACTATTACAAGCAGTTATTTAGTATGAAAAAAAGATGGCTAATTGAACATTTGTATACTTATAGGGTTGCCTACTTTGAAGTCTTTCAAAGGTCTTAACCGGGCGGAAATGTCATCAAAGTACATGCCATGCCATCTGTTAGTAGGGCATTTGCTTTTGGTCTCACAAAAACGGCAACCAAATAAACTTGTATGGGAACCAATGTGGGCCATATCAGCTACAGCTGGAATATCGCCAGAAGCAAGCAGAAGATAGACCTTGGATCTGCAAAGCTCCACTCCATTGTGCTTGACAACCAAGCCATGTGCCTCAAGATCTCGCAATTCATTGATGATGGGTATAAGAAAGGAGTCCAAATGAGTTGGCTTCTTGGGGCCAGGCAAGATTGCCAGTTGCAAAAGGTATTTGTTGGTATATCTAAGTATTTTATTAGTAATTTTTTTTTAAAAAAAATGTAATAATAATAATAAATAGTAATAAATTAATTAATTACCTGATGGATGGGTCTAGGTTGAATATTATGCAATGGATGATGGTATATGAGTTTTTGCCTTTCTTTTGATTGACAAACCCATTGGTATAAAGCCCAATGGCAATATCATCGGGATTGGAGAACAGGCCCTGCTGCACCAACTGCTTGTAATTGTCACCATCAAAAATGTTGGTTAGCTGACCAGCTACAGATTCCTGGTTTGCTCTGTAACAGAGGAGTTCTCTTGTGGCTGGATCTGCCAACATTTGAGAAAGCATATCCCCAACTGACATAAGTTTCATACTGGCGGCTGGTGTCTGAATTTGATCGGGATCAGTCTTGTATCACGGTTTGCCGCAGTTAACACAAGATTCCTGGTCGTCATTAATGCCATACAATCGACAACCACTAGAGCAGACATCATACTCATGGCCCTTGACACTTGACTTTGACTTGAGCAAAGCATCAACAGTTTCGCCATGACTGATCTTAGCCCCAGGTTCTAAAAAAAACGATATCACTACATGTTAGTGATCTGGAATTAAAGTACAAGGTAACAGAAAATATAATATTTTACCCATCATTATATCGTCATAGTCTCGGATGACAGTGTTTATAAATTGAACAATGTCTCTATATGCTGCTCTAGCAATTCTATGCTGTAGCATCAATTGAGACAGATGAATACTCATCAACTCGGCCTTGGTAAAAGTATTTGTACTGATTCGGCTGCTGTCGTAAATGTGAGCTTCACCCTCACTGTCCTCAAAATTACATGCGCACTTATATGAAATAGTATTATCAAGCTCCATAGACTCCATAGTATATTCTGTAATACATTATTTAGTAATTGGAAAATAAATAATACAATTACAGCTCTTTTCATTACCTGAATTGCTAACAGATTCATCTTCATTACTAGTATCATTTTCGTCATGGTACATGTCAACATCATCCAGAATAGACTGGTCAATTTCAGTCATTGTTACTGAATCTCCTCTGTGAATTCTCTTGTGGTTTTGCAGCTTCTGGTAGTTATCAAAAAACAAGACACATTGATCACATTAGTATTGCTGTGTAGATATTCTATCTCTCTGCTGGCTGGCGTTGGAAGAAGACATATTGGTTGGGTTGGTACGTATGTAATATATAAAATAAAGCTGCGAAGAGGATTTTGGTGCTATTTATTAAATGTAAAAGACATCTTTATATACTCTTTATTTTTTAACCAAAATGCTTGCGGCTCTTTTTCTTTTTCTCTCTCATAATGATGATATAGCAATGATTACAGTAATGTCAATGCTAGGTGAAACACCTGTCAGTAAATAATTCCCGTGGTTGGAAAGATTCTTCTTCATTAATAATTATGATGTAAGTTAAAATACTGCTTAGTTGACAAGGGGGTACCATTAAAAGAGCACCGGTGAAACAGACACGTACTCTTTACTTGTGAGCAATTAGATATTCTTTGGGCTTTATAAAGAGGTATATGTATATTTAGGATAATTAATGACCAAATAATTTATGTTTTTTTTAAATAAATTATCAATTACTCTCTAATACCAAAGGCAAAGAAAAACAGCCTTCTAATAATTAACAGTTAAAAAAAAGTAGTACTGTCTAAACACATTGGTAGAAAAGACATATTTATATTATTTGTGTTGTACTAATAATATTTTTGAGATAGTGAATATATATTTAGCTAATAGCATTATTTTCTTGTTTATGTATAAAACTTAAAGAAATAGATATAGATAATGAGGGCTATAGTCTGATACTCTTTTACTGACATCATCAAGATAAGCACTACTGATCAAAAGGGGTGTTAATTGAAAGTGCCGATGTGAGTTAAAGCACACCTTTTTCAAAAATATACGGTTTCAGTCAAAAATGCCCCTTGGTAAATAATAGTAATGACAGTTAAAATTATTTTTACCTTTGATGACAGCATCAATCAAAACGCGTTTTAGTTGATAATGATAATAAGTATGATATGAACTTGAGTATCATAACATTTACTTTAATGTTGATAAAAAGGGGCTAATTAACTATATGATGTTCAGATGTTATATAGCTACTGTAGAGTATATTTAAAGTTATAATTTTAACTGGTACAGGGTTTTGTCATTGAGAACTTTAATCAAATTTCATGCTATATCTGCAATATGTATAGAGTTATATTATTATATCATATACTTTAAAACGTTTAATATGTAGACGGTGCAAAGTATGAACATTTATACATATAATATTGATTTAAAGTCTAATTCATTTTATCTTTATATTTCTTACAGTTTTGTTGTGTCGACACAAAAAGACTGTATCATTTTCACATGAGCTACTGCAGACAGGTGCAGACAGGTGCATACAAGTGCATACAAGTGCATAAGCATCCCTTCTTTTATATGTTTTGTTTGTACATCTGTCTGTATCTTTTTCATATAAATAGCTATCAATTGCTTGTAATAAATCGTTGCTTTTCTCAAACTCAAATCGCTCTTATTCTACTTGTCTAAACTATCACCTTTTCTTTTCAACTCACTGCTTATAGCTAAAAAAAAACTTAAACATGTCCGATATTAACACAACTCTCCTCAACTCAATTCAAAAGATTGAGGTTGATCTTGCTGAAATCAAGCAAGCATTGCGCGAGCTTCAAAGGCAATTCAGCAATCAATTTGCACCAGCAGTCAGTGCGGAAGATCTAACTACAATGCAACAAAGCATTATTGAGCAGAGTTGTAAGTCATATATATTCTGTGCTTAGATGTTTATTTACTTTATTAATATTGTCATACATTTTTTATAGCTCTTGAGTGCATTGCTGAGTCTGTGAAAAGAGCCCAGCTCACAGAGTACCCTGATCAGCTCGGTAAGCGAGTAATCAATACTGGCGGCGAGTTCAAAGGAAAAAATGAAGCACAAAAATACAATCTGTTACTTCAGATTCTTCACGAGCAGGACTGGAAGGCGCGCTGCAAAGAAGTTCCACAAGGGCAGCCTTTGCCCCCATTAGTCCCTCTTTCAGACCATGATTTGACAGTAAAAAGACTGCATCTCAAAACATTAGGCCATATGGTAAAGCATGATATCATTGACAAAGACTATCCTACGGCCTCAAAAGAATGGAAGAATATCCCAGAGAAAAACAGGGAATACTACATGATGCATTTGGAAAGGTTGGCGAAGAATGGTGGATTGCACATCCACCAATGTAAAAGAATGTGGTGTGCAAGAAGCCTTCTTCGGGAAAGCTTCAAGAGCGACAACCAGACGCACAAGAGAAGAATGGCAGAGAAGAACAAAGTAAGTTTATCAATTAACAAATCTATATATTGTAAACTTTAATTAACATCGTTTCCTTTTATTATGCTATAGACACAGTGAGACATAAGTGATTCTTCGCTTTCTTCTCCTGATATGTCAGAAACTGGTGATGTTGAGTCGCCCATAATGGCAGATGTGCTGTAAGTTACCATTGTTGCTTTTTCTCATGCACTGTTAATACAAAACTAATATAAACTTCTTACTCTTTTATGTAGGTCTCCTCCACTCACAGCAAGTGTCGAGCCTGCTCGCAAGAGAAGCCGAAGATCGTAGTTTGGCTGCTGTGATTGGCCGAGTTTGATTTTTTTAGTCTGTCTTTAGTGCATTTTTTTTCTTATCTCATCATTTTTCTTTTTATGTTTTTTATTCCTTTTTTCTTTCATATAAAAAATTTATCGACCTCTTTCATATGATTGCTAATGTTGTGATTACAAGAATTTGAAGCTAATGTACAGCATCTACAATTCCACTACATTCAAATATAAAAGGAAATAGTATATAACCTTTTTTTTGGGAAAAAAATTAATAGTAATATTTTTGTACTGATATATTATACTTGGGAGTCGTTCTATTATATGTAAGTATATTGAGTAGAATAAACACATTAAGCTTTCTAACAAGATGCTCATTCCGGTTGTATGAATCAGATTCGAATTAGCTTCATGTTATATGACTTGAATCTTTGCTCAAGTTTTTCTTCTTCTATGATAACGACTTTCTATAGTGCTTATGTTTTATTGCTTTTCTTATATATAGATCTTAAATATTAATACATTCTTTAATATATATATATATTCTTAGAGTAAATGCTTATTTTACTGAACAAGTAAGCATATTATATAAAGGTAAGCATTATAATAATATTATATCTATTTATTTATTTTAAGTTTTTTCTCTAATATTAGTATATTTGTAGAAATTGGTAAAAAATAATAAGTGCTATCTAAGATATATTAGAATACCCAAAGTATATGAAATACAATTTGAATAGTAGTGTTTTACTGCATACGTTTTGCAGTAGCTAAACAGAACCATTTTTTATTGCAAGTGGCCGATGGAATTGTTTTTTCATTATTACTATTATTATTATCATTTTCATTTAATAAAACATGCATTGAAATAAAGATTCAATTCAATTAAACCCGATTCAATATTGTATAATAAAAACCAGACCATTCTGTTAAAGCTGCAAAGAAAAAACAAGAGGTTGTGCTAGAATTGAAAGCAATAGAACAAAAGAAAGAATGTAATAGAGGAAAGGAAGGACGCTTGTTTTTTTTTTTGAAAAATGGTAACAGTGCCTGTTTTGGCTTTTTACATAATAAATAACTGCCATTTTTTACATAGTAAAAAATGGTAACAGTGCCTGTTTTGACCTTATACAGAGTCATAACTGCCATTTTTTATTAAGTAAAAAATGGCAGTTATGTTACCATTTTCTCCGCCATAGTGCTTATGTTTCTTCCTTTTCTTTTATTTTTTCTTATTTTCTTTTTTTCCTGTTTCTCTTCCACTTTATTTACTTTTTTTCTGGTTGATGTATTTGAGTTCACACCCTGTTAAGCAATTTGTTATTTATTATTCTTTTGTTATATTTATTCTTAATTTTTTTCTTTTATTATTATTGCAGTTGCTGATACTATTACAAGTTTCTGCCGTGTTGCTTAACAGACAAGAATAAAAAGATAAAACACAGTTATTGTATATATGTCTATTTATTAATAATTTTTTCTTTCTCTCATCAGCTCATTAGCTCATCAGCCCATCATAAAGACATATTAACATTAGAAATTTATCTGATAAGTCTGAATAATGTATTTATTTATTTTATTCTTATATCTAATTCTGTTTATCTTTTATCTCTGTTAGTACTGTCAACATTTCTATGTATCTGATTGAATGACTTTTCTTTAAAAACCAGTTTTCTTTGGTAAGTAATAAAATCAAATCATATTCCATGATCTTCACTAATGCATTTTATTAAACCTTTCAAAATAACAGTCAATGTGTACTATGCCTGGTTTTGACAAAAGCACTAGTAAGTAATTATACTATTTGAATTAAAGAAAAATAAATATTTATATAATCTAATAAAATTAAATAATTTTTTAGCCTTCTCTTACAAGTAAAATATCATAAATACTCATTTCTTTTTGGAATTCTATCATATTAAAAGTATTCATATATCATAATATATGAAAGAGTTTGCTATTATATTAATTATATAGTAATCTATATATTACATTAGACTATATATTGTCAAGTCGTACATATTATAAGCAAAAAGCTTTTTTTAATAAAAACAATTTTTCCAAAACAATCCCTCCAAAAATATTTGAAATGAAGTGCAAGAAGTATTGCAGTAGTATGATATATGTAAACCCTATAGTTTAGGTGTGCATGATTATGCAATAAAAGTATTTAGATTCAGAAGAGATTATATATGAATCCTGTTTTTTCTGTTAAATAATCTAATAGAATATCATTATTTTGGTAGATATTTTTCTCTATCAAATAATCTAATAGGATACAATTATTTCAGTAGACAGTTTTCTATCTAAAACAGATGTTTTTTTCTTTATTAGACTGTTTCTTTAAAGCAGTCTTGCTGTAACATAGTGTCAAACAAAAAAGAGAAAGTATGTACTTTAATTAAGGTTCTGTATTTAATTATTTAAAATAGCTGCGCTTCCATATATAGGCAATTATGGCATTGTAAGTTACTTGGACAACTCATATGTAATATAATATATAGAGAATAGAATATAGATATATCAGATTCTAGAATTTAATTATTCTGTCATCTAGAATTTCTTATACTCTTACATATGTTTAAGCAGATAATTTTTTTAGTATAAGCAATTGATATGGTAAGAATAAAATATATGAATAAAAAATGTAATAAAAATATAATAATAAAAGTACTGATGTTACACGAAGATGTTGGCAAGACTAATTGTATATATTGTAGAAGAGGAATGTTACTAGCATGGGTGACAATGATTTCGAAGGAGTATAATATAAACAAATATATCAATAAAAAAAAGAAAAAAGTATTATGTGTAGAAAAAACAGGAAATGGAAACAAGATTTTCTTATATACAGAAAATCTCCTCTTACTACCAAGGGCACAGCACCACATCAACAAACTGTCAACGTCAGCCTCTCATAACTAGAAAAACATGTTATGACAAACTGCTAGACAAACTCACCAAGCAGACTGACCTTCTGATATCAGACACTATGACATGGTCAACTGCTGCACGTGTGTGTTACATATCTGATAACAGCAACTATTTGGCTTTAGCTCAGGTTAAAGATTATTTTTATTATATCATATAATGCTTGTGATCTATGGATTATATAGCTGTGATCAGAACATAAGTAAGAAAGCTATTATATAAAAAGAAATGATAGGAGAAGAAATTATTGCTGACTGTAAGCTAATTCTTTGATAAAGTCTTATATAGGAAGAGAACATGCTTTATTAAGCCTATGACAGGCATCGTGAATTACAGTCAGCAAAGGGCACCAATATCAGACAAGACCAGAAAAGAATGGCGACAAAACTTAATGGGACAGGAGACAGAAGAACCAATGGCTTGCAGAGACAGGAAGGACAGTAGGACGACAGCTGCACTCAGGCATTAGTGTCTATGACGTGACACCATGACAGCAAGATCAAAGGAAGGAACCAGGTGTATAAACCCAGATAAATTTATAGCTTTCAGAGGTTGAACTCACGATCTTTTTATTGAAAGTACAGAAGTCTACTTACTATACTAAGCAAGCTAACTACCTGGCTTTAGCTCAGGTTAAAGATTATATTTTATTAAAGAAGATATTGCTGGCGATCTATAGATCATATAGTCTCCAAAGTACAAAAAGAAGATATAAAAAAGTCCCAAGGGATCACAAAAGATAAAAAAAAGAGAGGGGAAAGAGAAGATCAAATCATACTAGCTTCAATGGCAGAACCTGCTCTCCACTTTGCAGCTGTGAAAATAGTTGTAACAGTGAAAGGAAGGAGACAGAATTGCAGAACAAAGAACTTTTCAGACATTAAAAAACAAAAGAGAAAGAAGAGAGATAAAGGGAGTAAAGAACAATGAAAAGTGGAGAGCTATGAAAGAAAAGAAAAAGTCTAAATTATATCCAAAGAGCACCATGTTCAGTCTCATGTGAATAGTCACTATCAGGATTACATATAATATCTATGTGCCAGAGAATAGTTATCAGTGGTATCTAGTATGCAGGTCGCGGTTCTTGAGATGACAAAGGCAAGAATGTCATAGCAAAATCAATTCTGTGTATCTGGTCATGGTCAGGTTGAGGCAACTGTTCAAATAGTGTCGCAGGAACAAGTGGACAATTCAACAAATGGCGGCGTGAGGTGTGATCAGATCCACAAGGATATTTCTTTGGTTTGTCTGGCAACCATCCCATTCTCCAACGAATCAAATGGCCACGTTCCACACATGAGGCTGGCAGAAACAAAATTGGATCAACTCCAAGAACTGGGCGGCATGCGTGAATGAGAACTTGTGTATTGGACTGGAGAAAGGTTGTAAATCCAGCTTCTCTAATGCTTTCAAAATGGTTTTTTACTGCACTAGGGCTTTGGAGTTTGAGTGGAGAGAGATGTGACAGAAGGTTGGTCTTTCCCAAAGAGACTAGTGCAGAATTAATATTATGTTGACGGTGTATAAGAGACAGACCGGCTTTAGCTCAGTTGGTAGAGCGGAGGACTGTAATGAGTTGTAATCCTTAGGTCACTAGTTCGAATCTGGTAAGCCGGAATTTTTACTATTTTTGTCGATTTCGTGTCATTCCCGATCTGCATTGGTCTTCATTTTACTGTCGGGCATTATTTTGATGAATCCGAGAAATCGGGATAATTGACCACAGCAGTTCTGTGTGTCAAAGATATCTCATAGATAACGAACCGCAGTAATATCTTGTAAAGATTAACTACAGTAACATCTTCTGAGCATCAACCGCAGTAAAAGGACTTCTCTTGTAATTAAATAGAGTATAATAGTTTACTGCGGATAATGCGCAGTATTAGTTTAGAAAACTATATAAGACAATTCAATTCCTATTAATAAAAAGTACCTTTTATCCTCTCTTCGATTTTACATATACTCTCTGATCTCCAGTGGGTTTGACCTTTTGACTTTGCTATAGTAAAAAGAAGACCATCCCAGATCAGGAACAACATTACTATAACAAAGTCAAAAGGTCAAACCCACTGAGGATCAAAGAGTATACATAAAATCAAAGAGAGGATAAAAGTATATTTTATCTTCTTGTTGATTTTAAGGAGTTATCACAGAGTTTTTAGTAGGGTTACAGACTCAGACAACGAGCCTAGCAGTGACTTGTTTAAAATAAAAAATCATTAGAACACCAAATTTTATAGGTAATTTTCACCAAAAAAATATGCTGCTCATTACAAAAAAATGATCAAAACAAAATATTTCTTTATATACAAGAGATTCTTTCAAATTCTTATAAATATATATATATATATGAACGTTAGTAGAAGCTTTAAAAGTATCTATATTTCTCTTATATTTATCAAAAAGCTGATATTGAATTGGATAAAGTATTATTCCTTAAGTATATGTTTAATTACATATAGCTGTTTGATCTAATAAAGTAGAATATAGCAAGGATGGTACCAGAAAATAATGGAAGCTATTATATTACTTAATATCAGCATTAACTGAATATCATAAAAAGAAACAAGATATATATATTTTTTATTTTTATAATCATTAAAAGATTTGGCTTGAATTTTTAGACAAAAAGTCCAGAGTTCTTCTTCTTCTTTGGTTTTCTTCTGCAAGTTTGACTGCTGTTTCTTCACTTACAGAATTGTCAACCATATTTTTCTTAATATGATCGAAAATTCTTTTATGTCTATTAAAGAACTGTTGATCATTGTTTGTCTAAGCAATGCCATATCTTGTATTCATCTTGTGTACAGAGACACAACCAGAGAGTCCCACATGCCATTCTCTCCACAAGTCAGGCACCGTCTGTATATCTCTTCTCATTCTATATCAAACAGGTATGTCTGACAGCTGGGAAATTAGTCCAGAGTTGTTGGCCAGGACTGGGAATGCTTAGACCTCTGTTGATCCAGCTCCACCTCTTTCCTCTCCATCTTCTTGAAGGGACTAAAGAGGAATTCTCCCAGATACCAAGTCGTCAATCTTCTGGTGAAGAACACCAAACTCCCGCAGAACTTCTCTGCAAAACCCGCTGTCCACATTCTGCATGTCAGCCAACTTTCTGGCTATCAGAGGAAGTGCTCTCTGCAAAAGGATATCAGTAGACTTGACATCTGTATCCACAAAAGCCTTGACTGATCTAAAACATTGACATGTAAATATATTAGAGCTATTTTTTTCACTGTATTATATATTAGTTTTTTTTTACCTCTTGAACTCAATGTATTTGAGATCATGGAATACATCGTGCTGCCACAATGGGTGCCCTGGAGTTTAGCTCATTATTAACACAGAATTCTGTAGAAAAGTGATTCTTAATTGCTTCAGAAGCTCCAGAAACCCATGTGCAGCTGCGGTTTGCTGGCATACTCCTGACAAAATTCTGTCATACCAAAAGTCTACCATTGGGAAAACCTTGCACTGAAGCAACTTGGCTGGTTTCACTTGGGGTCTTGGCAAGTAGAACTGCCCCTCAGCTGATGGAAATCCAGTCATAGTACACACCCACTGAGGTTTCTTCTAAATATGGAAATTTCTTGTCAAAACCAAATTTTCTATTGGCTTAGAGTATGAATTGAGATTAAACATGAAAAGCTTCAGATTTGGGAGGCAAAATAATGAGACATATGTCAGAAAAGAATGAAATAATATTTTTGTATACCATAAATAAAATTCAGATAGTATAAATGTATGAAATGGATGGAGAATGACAGAGAGTTGGAAAACAGAAGATTTAATTGGACAAAATTTATTGGAAAACATAATTTTTCTCCAAGTCATTTTTATTATTTGTGTTTTTTTGCCATGTCATTGAATATCCTCAACTGCATGTCATAATATACAGCATTAAGAAATATTTTTCTATTATTTTTTGAGTAATAGAAGTAAATAACAATAGTCTAGCTAATACCAGCATTACTATAGTAGATTTTAATGAGAACTATATTATATAAGTTTGCAATGTCACAGTAATTGTCAGCAATAATGACAAAAGTTTACGTTAATTTTGTTGCTGTTATATTATTTTTGATGTATCATTAATATTATTATATTCTTCTATAACTATTTAGACTTTCTTTGATAGTAATACTGCTAAAAATATAACAAAAAGCACTCATATACACTGATTCTTGATATAGTGCCATCACTCATAAGATCTCAAGACTGCTAAAAAACAAAGGGACATAATAGACTTTAGGCTAATTTTCCAATTGTTCACTTGTCTCTTTTTTTCATTATTTTCATGTCATCATTTAAAAGTAAACCACAAGTGTAATCTAGCCAGAGAATACTACATCATAGAAGTTTATTTAAGTGAGTACTATTTCTATTATGCATCTCTTTGAATTCTTACTAAATCATAATCTTGCTAGACTGTGGTGATCCAGACACTCGGATGTTGGATTTATCACATATAAGAACATATTCATATTGGGATAGCATAGTAGCTATCATCTTGTCAGTATAAAATATATATAAACGATTAAGTAATCAGCCCAATAATTATTACAGTTAGTACTGTAGATAATATCTTAAAGATTGTTAAGATAATTATATCATACTGCCGGGTAAACTGTGTCAGATCGATATGGAGCTAATTTAGTAGGAAGTCCTAAAGCTCTAGTATAAAAGAGAAAAGAATAGCTAAGAGCTAAAGAAGTATGATTTATGACTTGATGTCATAATTGTAACACCGACACTAGTTAAGCAGTAAATACACTCTAATAACCAAATATAATAAAGGAAGAAAGCCTTAAGAAACTAAGACGTAATGACAAGAGCAGATTGTGTTTTCTTATAAAAAGGGACACTTTTTATTTATGAATAAAGACAACTTATATACAGTCTCAAAGTATTTCTATACGTCTCTATTATCAAATATTTTATTTTTCTATTGTTTCGTACCTGAAATACCACATAGACTTCAAAGGCAATGCAAAGATG